GAGCTGGGGCTGTTCAGCCCCCAGAGCACACACTGAGAGGGGACCTCCCCCAGGTCTGTGGGGTCTGCAGGGAGGGGGCAGAGGATGGACCAGGCTCTGCTCGGGGGGGCCCAGCAATGGCACAAGAGGAACGGGCAGGAACTGATGCCCAGCAAGTTCCACCTGCACAGGAGGAAGAACTTCTTGGCTGTGCAGTGACCCAGCACTGAACAGATCACCCAGAGAGGGTGTGGAGTCTCCTCCCTGGAGACATTCCCGACCCCCCTGTGTCACCCGCTCCAGGTGGCCCCGCCCGGGCAGGGAGGTTGGACTGGGGCGATCCCCGGAGGTCCCTTCCAACCCCAGCCCCTCTGGGATCCTGGCATTCCGTGTGTGGATCGCGGCCCGGCTTCCCGCTGGGAATCTCCCGGGACCATCCGAGGCGGCGGGGATTCCTCGGGATAGCGGAGTCGTCCGCCCTCTCCTGTCGGAGCTGTCGCAGTGCCGCAGTTTTTCCCGCGTCCCGGAGCTTTCCGTGCATCCCAGAGCTTTTCCCGTGTCCCAGAGCTTTCCCAGGACCTGGAGCTTTCCCTATTTCCCTGCACGGAGCTTTCCCCGTGTCCCAGAATTTCTCCTGTGCCCCAGCTCGGAGTGTTCTCTGTGTCCCTTCCCGGAGCTTTCCCTGCTCCCCGAGCCCGGCACAGCTTCCCGCGGGTCTCCTGTCGCCAGCGGGAGCTCAGCCCCGGGATTTTGGGAATTGTCTTGGGGATTAAAGGGTGCTTTTTGTCCTTCTTTCCCCTGGGTGTCACGGGAGGACCCTGACCAGGCTCTGGGGAAGCCGGTGGAGCTTGGAAGGAAAGGGAAGGAAGGACAGGGAAAGAAAAGAAGGAATATTTTTAATTTTTATTACTATTTATCTACGGATATTTCGTTGTTCAGCAGAAATGTTCAGGTGTTTTTGTTTTTTAGCTTGCTATCCAGCAACACACTTGTATCATAAAAATCTTTTTCCATGCACCAAAATTCCATTTATTGAACGGTTTTCATGCTGGGAAAACTGGATTTACAGTTTCTCCCCTCGACTTGCTTTATGTCACTTTTAACTGGGTATTTTTTTTTTTTTGGTATGGGAAAGGGACATTTCTTCTGTTTTAAGCTGAAATGAAGGTATTTCTGGTCAGTCAATCTGCCAGTTTTGTTTGTTGCTTCCACTTGAACTCCACGTGGAAAGGTTGGCAATTTTAATTCCTTAACTAGGCCTGGAATTTGGAGGTCTGAGGTGAAAACACGAAGATGGAAGAGCTGAGATTTATGATGGGAATATTGTAGGGGCAGAAAGGAGGTGCAGATCTACAATTAGGCATGGAATGTGTGCAGGTTTGGGGATTTTTTTGGGGGGGAAATTTGGTATTTCTGTACTTCAGAAATGGTCATGTTTGCAAACATGTTGAGAGAGTAAGGTTTCCTCCTACACTGTGTGTTGATTCTTAAGGTATTTGAACATCTTGGTGAGCTTCTGTTCTTTGAGTTGTACTTTTCAGAAGGACAAATGTATTGACAGGTTTGTGCTTAGAGGGGACTCTGGTTTTACACAAAATAAGGGCGAAGCTCTTTTGGAGAACAGACAGAGGTGACTTTATCCCCCATCAAAGAGAGGCATCATCTGGTGGCACAGAAACTCCTTAAGGAAATATTACGGTGTTTTCATCATCTTTTATCCCTTTCCCCCACTCTGGTGACTTGTAAAGGCTTTTTGTTGTAACCATGGAATGATTTGGGTTGAAAGGGAACTTTAAGATCACCCAGTGCCATCCCCTGCCATGGGCAGGGACACCTTCCACCAGCCCAGGGTGCTCCAACCTGGCCTGGGACACTTCCAGGGATCCAGGGGCAGCCACAGCTTCTCTGCCCAACCTGTGCCAGGGCCTCCCCACCCTCACAGGGAAGAATTTCTTCCCAATATCCCATCTATCCCTACTTTATTTCACTCTGAAGCCATTCCCTCTTGTCCTGTCCCTCCAGCCCTTGGGAATAGTCTCTCTCCACCTTTCCTGGAGCTCCTCCAGGCCCTGCAAGGCCACACTCAGGTCCCCCCAAAGCTTCTCTTGTGCAGCTGAACAATCCCAGCTGTGCCAGCCTTTCCTCCCAGCAGAGCTGCTCCAGCCCTGGGATCCTCTTGGTGCCTCCTCTGGGCTCTCTCCAGCAGCTCCATGTGCTCCCTGTGCTGTTCCCAGGGCTGGAGCAGCTCTGCAGGGGAAGGTCTCACCTGAGGGGGCAGAATTTTGAGCTGGTTTTTGATTTTTGAAGAAATGTTGTCAGAAAAATTCTTATTGAACTTCGAATCACCCCTCTCCTTCCTGCCCCCAGGACGTGCCCCCTTCCCCTGTGGGAGTGTGTGGGCAGCAGCTCTGGAAGAGGCTGTTGCTGCGTGGTGGGAAACTTCTTTATTAAAGCAGTTCATGTGTTCAGGATTGTCCTCACTTCTCATAGCTGAGCTGGGCTCGTTTTTCACAGCAATAACCTAATTGCTTGTGCTAATTAAGGCCCCTGAGCAGAGCAGAGCAGAATTTAGGTCAGCTTTTCTTCCCTGTCCTTTTGTGCTCGTGCCTCCTGTCCTGGCCTTTCCCACTTGCTGCACATCCCCTTTCCAGCCTCGCTCCCGCTGCCGGATGTTCTCCTGCCCCGCTCTTCCTGACCCATTTCGGGCATCCTGTGCCACCAGGAAGGACAAAAGGCTGCCCAAATTCCAACCTACTGTGAGCTGGTTGGGTGGAGAGAGGAGGGCTGTGGGAATCTCTCCGTGCTTGGAGTGAGCTCTGCCCTGGTGTCTGTTTGCCAGGTGAGGGAGCAGGAGAGAAGATTGTGTCCCACGAACTTGCCAGGTTGTCCATCAGTTGCTGCCCTTTCCAGCTGTGAATTTTTACATGGATTGAAGCAGATTTTTACATGGAGCTCGGGATTGAAGCATATTCTGTGGTGCAGGAGAGGGGAAGGACGAACCGTGGGGAATGGGAAGTTGCTCCCCCCCCTGCACTCACCTGGTGTTCAGTGCCAGGACTTCTGAGCTGATGCTCTGAGGATGCAGCAAAAGAATGTTTTGTGGACAGAACATCCTGCCTGGGATGAAGTGACACATTCCTGGAGTCACACAGCTCGTGCCTTGGATTCAGATACACTTTGAAACGATTTCTCTGTGTTCCTGTGGCAGAGCAACTCGTAATTTATATGTTTTGTTTACGTATTTCAAGTCTATTCTGCCCCACTCTTGAGTTGAGTCTCACCTTCTTGGCCATCCCTTTTACAACTGTGCCTTCCCTTCCCTCTCCCCATCCCACTTTCCATGTGACAATTCCTCCTGGGAGTTTATCCTGACACGTGGGATGGAACTTGCCTGTTGCCAGCTGACCCAGTGGTCGTTCATGGGGGTGTTTTTCATCTTCCTGGAGAAGGAAGATCTTGAAACTTTGGGAGGAAGGTGAAGCCCTTCTGCAAAGAGGAGGATGATGTTTTTGAGGAAAACAGGCCAGGAGTGCAGAGCCCTCTCCCTGCATTCCCTTATCATCAGTGTTGGTGTTTCCTGACGAGGTCAGACCGTTCTTTGGGAACAGTTTCCTGGAGTTTGAAGATCTGGAAAAAAAAAATGGATTCAAACAAATGTTCTCACGTTGTCTTTTTTCCCCACCAGGAAGTTCTTTCTGGAGTTGTGGTCATCACGAGTAAGGACACAGTCCAGCACCAGGGAATCTCCTTAACCATGGAGGGCTCGGTCAATCTGCAGCTCAGTGCCAAAAGTGTGGGGGTGTTCGAGGCTTTCTACAACTCTGTCAAGGTAAGGCCTGCACAGCTCGATGTTTTCAGCACAAAAACTCCTGTCTCTCTTCTCAAAGGAGCTCTTTCCTTAATGGCTTTCAGGTGGGCAAAGGATTTCATGGCATGGAAATGAGGGAAAGCATTAATTGGAGATCCCAGAATCACAGGATGGTTTGGGTGGAAAGGGACCTTAAAAATCATCCAGTGCCACCCCCTGCCATGGGCAGGGACACCTTCCACCAGCCAAGGCTGCTCCAAGCCCCGTCCAACCTGGCCTTGGACACTTCCAGGGATCCAGGGGCAGCCACAGCCTCTCTGGGAATTCTATCCCAGCCCCTTACCACCCTCCCAGCCAAGAATTCCTTCCCAATATCCCATCTAACCCTATTCTCTGTCAGTTCAAAGCCATTCCCCTTGTCCTGTCCCTCCATCCCTTGTCCCCAGTCCCTCTCCAGCTCTCCTGGAAGGGGCTCTGAGGTCTCCCTGGATCCTTCCCTTCTCCAGGTGAGCACCCCCAGCTCTCCCAGCCTGGCTCCAGAGCAGAGTTGCTCCAGCCCTTGGATCAACTCAGTGGCCTCCTCTGGGCTTGTTCCAACAGCTCCACATCTTTCTCATCTTGGGGAAAATAATAATAAAATTCCAGATGGAAAAGTGTCACCTCCAAGCAAAACTCCCCTTTCCAGAGTGCTGGAGACACTGTGGAGCTCCCTGGATATCTTTGGTCACCAGCGTGATGGAGCCATAAAACAGATCACAAATGGTGGTCTTGAGGAAAATATTAATGTTTCTTTTCATTGTAAAGAAATATCCCAACACTGTGTGTCCTAAAAAAGGTACCTGAGATCCTGGAAATCCAGGAAGTCTGTTGGAGTGTAGTGCATGTCTTTTGGTTCTCTATTTCAACCTAAACCTCCCTGACATTTCTCTCTTTGCAGCCTATTCAGATCATCAACAGCACCATTGAAATGGTAAAACCAGGGAAGCTTCCCAGTGGCAAGACTGAAATTCCCTTTGAATTTCCACTGCACATGAAGGGGAACAAGGTCCTGTACGAGACATACCACGGCGTGTTTGTCAACATCCAGGTAAAGCTCCTCTCTGCAGAAATCTGCACCTCCATCTGTGCTCCAAAGCATCTCTCAATCCGTGGAAATCGAGGATGAAGTTTGGTGGTCGAAGCTTTCAGGGTGCAGAGCGGTTTTTTTCCTCAGTTTCCACGTCATTGTCCACTAAACCTTTAAGGAATGGTGGCCCAAAGAAGGTGTTTTTTTGCCTGAAATACCTTGTCAGAACTCTTAACATCCTCATCTGATCCCTCCTTGTGTTGTAGAGAGGGGGAATAACATTCCCTGCCCAAATCTGGATGGAATTCGTGCTGTTGACAGAATCTCGTGGAACCACCAGTTTGAAACTGGACCATTTTTGGGTTAAAAACCGTATTACCATATGTGGGTTGGTTGCTTTAGGGGGGGTTTTTTTGGGGTTCTTTTGGTTTTGTTTTTGAGGGAAAGTCTTTCCTCACCCATCTCATGAAGGTAAATATTAATTATTTTATTACAACCTGGAGTTAAAAAAGCCAACCTAACAAACCACACCACCCCTCATTAGCCTGTCAGAAGTAACTAAAGGAAAAAAAAAACCTCTTTTTTTTTTTGTCTTTTTTTTTTAAGGACTTCCCATCTATTTTTTTTTCAGTTTTGGCTTTCTTCCCCCTGTAACATGAGTTGTTTGTGGTGGGTAAATCAGAAATGGTGCAGAAGGGGTGGAGTTGCTTCCCAAAACCAGACGAAACCAAACAACAACAAAACCCCCATCCCAACAAATTCCCTGTGCTGGGGGGCTTTGTTAGAGATCCTGAAGTGTGGGATTCCTGGGATAACTGTTTTCAGCTGCTGGTTCATGGCTCCTGTTTTAGGGGAGGGAATGGGCAGCAAATGAACCTCGTTGCCTGATTTTACTGCAAACTTCCAGCTCAGCTGTGTGGTTAAAGACATTAAACACCCACAGAACTGCTACCACTTAAACTCACCCCCCCCCCCCAGTAAATTTAAAATTTAAAACTTAAATTTCATTTAAAAATTAAAATTAAAAATGGAATCTCCCCGAGTTGGATGTAACAGCAGCAACGTCCTGCACAGAGGCAACAAAAAGATGAAAAGCTGAAAGAGGAAAAATAAATCTGAACTGGAGAGAGAATAAATCTGAACTAAAGCTCTTTTTTTCTCTCTGCCTTCCCATTCCCACCAGTACACCCTGAGGTGTGACATGAGACGGTCCCTGCTGGCGAAGGACCTGACCAAGACCTGTGAATTCATTGTCCACTCCCTGGTAAGTGAGATTTGGGTTGTTTCTAATTTTTTTCTCCACTTGAAGTTTAGAAAGTTAGAAAACCAAGTGAAACCGTGGAATTTGTAACAGTGACAGGTGGGATCACAGAGGTGGAAAATCAGGGGATCTCCCGAGTTAGGAAGGACACGCAGAGATCATCAGATCCAGCTCGTGGCTCTGCACAGGCCAAAACATCTGAGTGGAGGAAGCAAACCCCAAAACAAACCCACCCCAAAGAGCTGAGCTGGCAGTTCTGATGAGAACAAGCCCATTTCTTTTGGTTTTGAAGGAAATGGGACAAAGAGGATTCGGATTTGAAGATGGTTTTACAGTTGCCCTGGGTTTATTCTCTTATTCATCCTCTCCGTTCAGGAACAATGGGGTGGTTGGATAAATATGATGTCATTCCTCTGAACACTGTTTCAAATTATCTCAGGAGCTCTCAGCCAAAGGTTTTTGAGGCACCCACAGTGCCTGTCCTACAAATGGGGGGTTTGGTGGGGAAGATAAAATTCCTGATTTCTGCTCTTCAGAGGAGTAGTTGTGATTTAGAGCCCTGACTCCAGGAGCAAAGCTGGGACTGCATCAGCTTGGAAATCCCGGGATCAAGGCTGGAAGAGACCTTCAGGAACATCCAGCCCTACCATAATCACCCTTAATCCACATCCCCAAGGACCACATCCTGCAACACTCCCAGAGATTGTGACTCCACCACCTCCCTGGGACACTTATTCCAAGGCCTGACCACTCTGGCAGGGAAAAAACTTGTCCCTAACACCTAATCCTTGCAGGATGAGGTCTGAGTGTCTCCCAGGAAATGCTTTGCTGGTTGTTTAGAGTTCCTGTATCAAGATTTGGGTCTGGTTTGTGTTGATTTGTGCCTGCCCAGAGCAGCTCAGGACAGCACAGACCTAATTAAACACTTCTTGTTCCACATAAAACTTGCTGGAACATCCTGTTTGTGTCATTCCTTTGAACTCCAACAGGACACTGAGTATGGGAATCTTTTGTTTTACTTATGACTGGTGGTGGAAATACGTTATTTTAGTTCTGTAATGCTCTTTCTGAAAAGATTTAGTTTGGTGTTATAAACAGCTTTGTGGCGAGATTTCATTATTTCCTGAAATACATTATGCTACATTTTATTGGTCCATTATTGCATTATAAGTGAGCCCCACTTGTCAAAACAGTGAAAAATTACAGATCCCGCAGTTTTCCTGGGCTTATTTCTTGTTCCCACCACAGCACTTCTGAGAGCACAAGTCAGTAAATCACAAATCTCTCAGTCAGGGTGAATTAATGAGGTTTTACTGAACATATAATTCTCACTGTCAGTGCTCGGTGCACCATTTCCCTTAAGCTTCTTCCTCTGCCAGAATTTGTCATTTTGGGAAAACACAGCCAATTTTTTTTGCTAATCCCTTCCATCTTGCAGCTGGGCAGCAGCAGCAGCAGCTCTTTGGAATTCTTAAGGAGTGAGGGCAGATCCCAACAAAGAATTCCAGCCCAGCCCATTGGTGGTGGATGAGGAGAGGGAGGGAGAGTTTATACAGCAGGTTGGCCCTGCCCAAATTTAATAACGAAAGGAAACATTTCCAGGAACGTGTAAAATGAAATTATTTATGCATTAAAAAATGTGAAATTTAACTTTTTTTTTTTTTTTTTCTCCTCTAACACACTGTATGCTTTAGATAGGGAATGTATTCCTGCTTTAGATAGGCAGTGTATTCCTGCTTTTCCAGGCTGGTTTGGAGCAGCCGAGTGTTGTGCGTTCTGATGTTCTGGGGATGTTTTTGGGGATCAGAGCTCCCGGGTTAACTCTGCCCTTCCTTGCAGTCCCAGAAGGGGAAGCTGCTGCCCAGCCCTGTGGACTTCACAATCACTCCTGAAACTTTGCAGAATGTTAAAGAGGTAAAAGGAGTTCCTGCTGTTTTGTTTTCAATGTCGTGTTTGTGTGATTCTGAGGGAGGCCAGGGGGATGAATAAAAGCTGCCCTGCAGATAATCAGCTCTTTTCACCCCCTCCATCTTCACTTTTCTAAGCAATCAAGTGATTCTGCCTCATCTTTCACCTCATGAGAGGTGGAATTTTGTTCAGTAATAAATCATTAGATATTTGTGTCCTTTTGCTGAGGGGAAGGAGGCAGTGGAGAAAGGGAAAACCATTTTATCTTATACCATGTATAGCCAAAAGCCCTTAAAAATGTGTGGTTTGGTCCTTAGTTGTGCCTTTTTTTTTTACATCCTCATGTGGGTTTAGGAAACCTGAAGGATTAGGTGGGATATTGGGAAGAAATTCTTGACTGGGAGGGTGATGAGGGGCTGGGATAGAATTCCCAGAGAAGCTGTGGCTGCCCCTGGATCCCTGGAAGTGTCCCAGGCCAGGTTGGAGCACCCTGGGCTGGTGGAAGGTGTCCCTGCCCGTGGCAGGGGTTGGAGGGGATGGGCTTTAAGGGTCTCTTCCAAATTCTGGGATCCTATTCCTGCCAGTCTCCCTCCTTCACCACGAGCTTCCACCCCCTGGATGAGCTGTCACGGCCAAGCGCTGTCAGTGCATCCCAGGAAAAGCCCATCCCTCGGGAGGATGGAATGAGCAGGAAGGATGCAAGGCAAGGGAGAGGATTGCAGAGATACCGTGATGCAGATTGAAAAAAAAAAAAATGATTTAAGCTCATTTCTGAACTCCCGAGTTCTTAACCTTGGAACTTTGGGGCATTTCCTGCACATTTTGAGAACTCCCTGTAAGGTTTTTATTTTTCCTTAGTCTGCTCTTCCAGTGGTGCCTTTCCCCGAAGAGCTGGACTGGATGATCCTTGTGGGTCCCTTCCAGCTCTGAATACCCTTGTGATCCCATCTTTCCAGAGAGCCTCCCTCCCCAAATTCCTGATCAGAGGGCACCTCAACTCCACCAACTGTGTGATCACCCAGCCCCTGACGGGGGAGCTGGTGGTGGAGAGCGCCGAGGCCGCCGTGAAGAGCATCGAGCTGCAGCTGGTCCGAGTGGAGACCTGCGGTGAGTGTCCCTGGCCGTGGGAAAGGTAGGGAAGAGCCCCCAGGAATTGCCCCCTGTGCTTGTTCAGCCTCACTGTGGAATGCTGTGACAAGCCAGAGGGCGTTACAAAGACCTTCCAAAGCGCGGTTTGCGCTTCGGGTGGAACGGTCGGGTTGATTTAAATAACTCCAGGAGCCTGAACCTGCAGCTCAAATGGCATCATTCCCCTCCTAATCCCAGCTTTCCCTCACCTGTTCCCCTCTCCCTGTGCCCCTTGCCCAGGCTGTGCCGAAGGTTACGCCAGGGACGCCACCGAGATCCAGAACATCCAGATCGCCGACGGCGACGTCTGCAGGGGCCTCCCCATCCCCATCTACATGGTGTTCCCCAGGCTCTTCACCTGCCCCACCCTGGAAACAACCAACTTCAAAGTGGGTGAGTGAGGGGGACTCGATGCTCTGGAGGCCATTTCTCCATCAGGGATGAGTTTCCTGTTCTCCTTCAGCTCCTGGCAGGTAACGGGATGAGCCCGGAGCTGCAGGAAGGACATGCAGGTGTTGCTTTCCTTGGACTTCACAGGATTTCACAGGCTGAGGAAATGCAGCCCAGATATTTCCCGTACAAACACTTGAGCAGCCATTAAGCTACTTCTGACCAACAGAATTCCATGGTAAAGGGACAGGAGAAACAGTGGAATGCAGGTCCTTCTTTTTTTCCTGCTGAAAGTTGCACATAATGAAACACTTGAATAATAATCCAAGAATTAAATTCCCTCTTCTCAGCAGTGAGAACCCCTCTTTCCACTTCCTCTCCTGCTGGAAAGCCTAGAAGCAGGAAGGTTGATCTGGGTGTGACTTTGCTTTTTTTGACCTACACCACCTGCTCCTCCCCGCCGATTGTTGCCAAAATCCAGCATTTTTCTTCAGAAAATGAGCATTTTCCTCACTTGCTCAAATAATTACGGCAAGAATCACTTGGCTAGTTTCTATTTCTTCCGTCCATCCAGTTGGAATCTTGGTACAAAACCTGTGTGCAGTGATTTTCCCCAAAAACTTATTTTTTGCCATTTTTAGCTCTTGAATAGCAATTTAAATTATTTGTAAGTAGTATCTTTTAAAAAAAAGTGCAGTTATTTTCCGTTTATTTTGCTTTTCTGCTTCCCTTCATTTATTAGCTCTGCCTGGCCTTGTCTTGTCTCCATTTGGGATTATTGATCTGATATTGGCTTTGAATGACACAATATAGAACCTAAAGAGTGGATTTTTCTTCTGTGGAATTTCTGTTCCACAGTTTGCAGATCTGTGGTATTCCAGTTTCATTCCCTAAGGCTGTGAGATGCTGCCAGCAGGGGAGGAATCTCTCCTGGGCTTTTCCCACTTCCATGCTTCCCAACAGCCTATTTAGGTGTCTTTCCCCAAACCATTTTGCCCCTTGATGTGTGAAATGTTTTGACTCTGTGTTACTGATAAATGAATCCAGAGGAATCCCAAAGATTAGGACAAGGCAGGAATTCCGTGTGAGAGCAGGAGCAGCTCCTTCCCCTCCTCCTGCTGGCAGGATCCAGGTTCACATGGAATTCTTCCCTTTTCCCTCCCCTCCTTTCTCCCAGAGTTTGAAGTGAACATCGTGGTCCTTCTGCACGACGACCACCTCATCACTGAGAACTTCCCCCTCAAGCTCTGCAGGATGTGAAGACCCAGGCCAGGATTCCCTGGAAAAGGCCCCCAATTCCTCAGAGGAAAAGTGGGAACTTTATCCATGCTGACAGCCCACCTGGACTTCCCAATCCAGGCAGCCTTGGCAGGTGTCCTCCTGCCTTCAACCACCATGTTATCCCCCATTTTCCTCAGGCAAATCCCGAAGGAACGATTTTTTGCAGCTCTCTGCAACTGGTGTAAGTATGGAGGAAGTTTCTCTCCTTATTTAATTCCATCATTTCAAATTCCAACCCTTTGAAGACCCCTTACACCTGTTGAATCCTGTTCTGTCCATAGTGGGAGGGCATGGGGATTGTGCTATCATGGTAAATTGTGGCTTTGAAGGGTTAAAAAAATGGTGCTGCAACACTGGGAGCTGCTGCTGTGGGACCACCCCACAAGGTGGGGGTGAAGTAAGTGAAGCAAATCCCAGGAAATTTGGGTCAAACTGGGAACATGAGAGGCTGTGCTGGAGGAATAAATTCACGTGTTTGTAACTGCGCAGCTTAAAGGAATTTTACAGGCAAGAAATAACCTTCCCAACCCAACCAGGTTGTGGGTTTTTGGGGTTGTGTTAATGGAACACAGCCACAAGTTCACTTTAATTGGGAATTTTCCATGAATCTTCCCTGGGGGGTGGGTAGAGGCAGCTCAGTTATAGGGTGTCATTCCAGGGGTGGCCCTGGTGGTTTAGGGGAGAAACAGCTGGAATTTTTATTTCAGTGTCTTACTGGGGGGGAAAAAAAAGTGCTATTTAATAAAACTTGACACTTTGTTTAAGACCAGGGGATGGCACAGGGTGATTTTTGGGAAGTGGAAGCCACTCTTTGTGGTGCCCAGAGCAGCACTTGCACCTCCTGTTGTCCCAAGGGATGTGGAAAAGAGGGGCCCCAGCACCTGGATCAGGGCAGCTTTAATCCCCCCAAAAATTACTGGAAGCTGAAAAGGGAGGCAAGTGCTGGAATTCCTCAGGCTCTGGAATTATTTACTCCCCACTCACTCAGCAGAAATATTACACAAGGAGCTGCAGCAGTAACTTTAATTTCTTATTCAAATGCCAATTAATACACTGATTAATCACAGAGTAGTTCAGAACTTCAGCTGGAGGATATTTAGCACTGGGGGGGGAAAAAGTGATCCCTGGAATTAGCTTATCCAGTTAATGCTGCCTGGATTCAGACAACAGGCACATTTGACTTTCACTTGGGAGATTTTCAGTCTCTGCTCCTCATTTTTTGGCTCCTGGAGGCAAACCTGACAGTGCTGAAGGTGCTCTGGCAAGCTCAGACTCTGCAGGCAGTGGGAAAAACATTCTTTGAGCTGTTTTAAATCCTGCCCCCCCTCACTGGTCACCAATTCCTGCCCAAAACACAGGTGTTGCTTCAGCCAAAATAAAAACTCCTGTTGTTCCCATTGAAACAGGTCAGCTCTTCAACAGTGGGGGGGAAATTCAAACCCTGTTTTGAAGGTTTGAATTAAAGAATCCATTAAAGAATGGATCCACTTTATTCCAGATCCATTCCCGTGAACACTTTATAATTCCTGCTTCAAAATATGGCTGAAAAGTCAGTATTTAAACCACCTGAATTTAAGCAGAGAGAGGAGCTGCAGGGATGAGCTGCACTCAGAAGGGCCTGATTGGAATCCTGCAGTTCAGCTGGAATTGCTGATGCCACAGGAAGGGAATGTCTGGGCTCTTCCAATCCTGCTTTTGGGTCTCCTGTTTGGTTGATATTAGGATTTAGTTGCAATTGTGCTCTGGCCTTTCAGATAAAACAGATTTGTTACTTTTCAATTAAATAATAATGATAAAAAAAGGCCAGTTTTGTGAGCTGCCAGCACTGAACCAACATCAGCTTCTCACACTCAGGGAGCAACCAGGAAAAGGGCTGGATCTTGGGAATCTGTGCCTTAATGCCAAGTGTTAAATCCCAACTCAGCTCTGGGGTTACTCTGCAACCACTCTGCATCTTCTGATTGTGATGATTATTATTATTATTATATTATCATTATTATAATAAAGCGATGAAATAAAGCCAGCACTAGGTGAACTTGTTCCATGCAGGAAGCTCAGGGAAGTCTTCGGGAAGGAGAGCGTGGACACGGCAGATGGGGCAGGTGCTGGAATGTTCCTTGAGCCACGTCCTGATGCACTGCAGGGACAGGGAGAGGGGGAGGAGGCAAAGGCTGGGGTTAGGAAAAAAAATGTTCTCCAGTTCTAAATCATTTATTCTGCAAGAAGAAATCATCAGGAAAGAAATAAGGCAAAGGGGAAGAGTCACAGGCAGGAACATGGGAGTTATTCTGACATAATCCTGAGTTTTTTTACTCCATAAAGTCCCACTATCAGGTGGCAAATGTAGGGATAGCCCAGTCCAAATTGCAAACAATCTAAAATTTATTCTCTGAACCTTGAATCTCTGATCCCTTTAAATTCACTCTGATGATTTATCACTTTAAAAAAAAAAAAAACCTAAAGCTTTCTGACACAGTAAAACCGGCTCTTAGGGCGACTTTGGGGTACAAAGGATGGAAAAAGCAAATTGTGCCCAGTTGTTTAAGCACTGGGGTGGGGGGTAAATGGAGAGTTCAGAAACAAGACCAGAACTTACTTCTCTATGGAAATGGTGCCCACACTCCAGTTCACACGAGTCCCTGCTCAGCTCGTCGTGACATATCGTGCAGGGATCCTCACTGGAGGCCTGCACATGGAATGCTCAGTTATCTGAAAGCCAATTCTACTCAGTCAATTAATTTACTAACTCTACCACGTCTGTCTTGTACACAAAATAAATGAGCCAGTTATTTTTTTTTTCCCCCCATCAATACCTCGATTATTTCGTGTCCCAGACCAAGCAACGACTTCACCGGAGCAGAGGAAAACTTACTGTATCGTCCTGCTTTTTCCATTTGGCTTTAGGTGTCGCTCCAACATTCCCCCAGGCCTGGAGGTTTGGCTGAGAAGGGTTTTTATTGGAGGTGTTTTTAGGTGCAGGTGCTGCTCTGGAGGGACTGGGGGCGTTTCTTTCTGCAGCCACTTCCCGGCTCCGTGCTCCGGTGGGGGCTGGTGGGGCAGAGGCTCTCCCTGCTGCAGTTGGTGCCTGAACAAAGGGATTTGGAGTGAGTTTGGATGTGGAGCTGGACAGCAAAGGGCAGGTTTTGTGCTCTGTTCCCTGTCAGAAGATTCCCAGGAGGAGGCAGCAGCTCCACCCCCTCCGTACCTGGCTCTGCTGGTCCAGGATCAGCTCCGTCACTCGGTTCAGAACCTCATCGCGGCTCAGACCTGACAGGGTGTTCCCGTTTCTTCTCTGCACTTCTCTTATAAAAGGAGTGAAATCTGAACTGGAGGGACAGGAAAAACAAGGATCACTCACTGGCAACACAACACTGGAGGCTCCATGTTTGCTTCCCACCAGGAGAGCCTTCAAAACACCAACTTCTCCCATGAACTGGAGCAGGTGCCTGTTCCAGTAACTCTTCCAACCAGGGTCTGCCTTCACTGTAATAAAACCCTAAACAATAATCAGAATCCCAGAATGGTTGGGTTGGAAGGGACCTTAAAGATATCCCGTTCCAACCATACCTTCCACCAGCCCAGGTTGCTCCAACCTGGCCTTGGACACTTCCAGGGATCCAGGGGCAGCCACAGCTTCTCTGGGCAACCTGTGCCAGGGCCTGCCCACCCTCCCAGCCAGCAATTCCTTCCCAATATCCCATCTATCCCTGCCCTCTGGCAGTCTGAACCACTCCCCCTTGTCCTGTCCCTCCAGGCCCTTGGAAACAGAACCAACTCAGTTCCTGCTGTACTTTCTCCCTGGCTGTGCAGAACTCGTTATTCCCATTAAAACATCCCACTCATTCAAACCAGTACCTGCTGTAATTTGGGAATATACTCTGGAGCTGTGCAATGATATTTTCCAGCGCTTTTGGAAGCTTTTTGTTGTTTGGAAGTGCAGGAGGCCTTGGCTGCAGAGCTGAGGCATCCTGGGGGTTCTGGGCTGGCCCAGCGTCGCCCCCAGAAATCCCTGCTGGGTGAGATGAGGGGAGTTTGTTGGAATGGGATCCCTCTGGAGGCTGGGGATGCGTTTTCACGGATGCAGCACTTGCAGAAGGAGCCTCAGCAGTGGCAGGTGCTGCCTTAGCTCCAGGCTGGCTTCCAAAGGATGCACCTTGAGCTTCAGGACTGGAGAAGGCGGGAAGCGGAGCGGGATGTGCAGATGCCAAGGAATAGGTGAGGATGGCTGGGTCGCTGACCGAGGGGCTGGCTGGCATTATCTGGGAAACAAAACCACATTTCACAGGGAAAACAGTGATTAAAACAACTTGGAGTTGAGCTCTGGAGCATTAGCAGCTTGGATTGTGACCAAGGAACTGGAAGGGCACAGTTTATCTTAAAAACTCCTCGAGATCAGTGAAGATGTTCGACCCCAGGACTGTTTTCTTTCAGGTTTCTCTTCTAAAAAGTTATTCTGGTTTTACTGTAGAAAATAAACAGATTCCAAAGGCAGAACAAGAAGCTCAGAAGCTGCTCTTTCCCAACCTGGAAATTGCTGGCGATTGTTATGTAGACACTCTGTGACAATAAACAGAAAGGAGATACCCCAAAAAAAAGTGAGGAAGGAAAAGTATGTAGGAAAAAAAGGAGTGGAAAAATTACTTGTGCAAGTCCAGAGTGAGTGTAGCAATAAATCTCAAATTTACAGTATCAGAACAGAGCCCTGAATCTAAATTATACCCAGAACAACCAAGAGAAAAAATAAATATAAAATATAAAAAAAAGGACCAGCACAGGGTTCAGAAGAAACTGTCCCATTCCTGGAAGTGTCCAAGGCCAGGTTGGAGCACCCTGGGCTGGTGGAAGGTGTCCTTGACAGGTGAGATACTCACTGGGACAGTGGGAGGAGAGGGAATATCCATAATTTCCACCTTGGTGAGGGAAATCTGGGCACCACTTCTCACCAGCTCCATTTTCTCCTCATACTCAGCCTGCAGAGGGAAAACAAACCATCATCCTCCACCTCAGCTCTGATTAAAGATCCCTCTTCATTTCACATTCACACTTTCCATTTGAACTTTAACACAGAGTTTTCTGGTAGTTTTGGTTGGTTTTTTTTAAAGAAGTTCCAGAAATTTCTAAAGAAATCCAAAAGAACCAAGAGATCAGACTTGTTGATGTGGGATCTAATTTTAAAGCACAGTGTGGGATCCAACTTTAATTAATTTTAAAAAAATCCAGCTCAATACTTGGGTGCTTTAAAAAAGGAATGCAAAGTTATTTAAGGCATTTATCCCACTTTAATTTCCAAAATTCAATTTACAAGCTTGCTAAGAGAAAGGAAGCCTTACCTCCACTTTTTCCAGCTGCTTCTTTACATTGGAAATAAAAGTTTCCCAGGAATCAATCTGTGACTTCAGCAAAGGTGCTGCTGAAGCTGAGCTGCTGCAGGATTGAAGATTGGCAGTTAAAATTCCAGCATTCCCACTGTTTTTCTTTCAGACCAGTGGTGGTTGTACAAGTTTCTCTTTCAGGTTAAAAAAAAATCAGTTCAATTCTTGGTGTTTGGATTCCATCCCATCCCAGGAGTGAACTCCTAAAACACCTTGGATTTAAACCACCAGTAATTTTCCATTTACACTTCAGTTCTTTCCCAGGGAAAACTGGGAATAAACTGGAACGTTCCCAGGTGTTTGATCTTCCCCAGCTCAGAAGGACAGCAGGGATAAGGATGAGCCTCAAATACCAGCTGAATTTTGGTTGGGGCAATACTGAATACCCCAAATCCTGTGCACTTCAATATTATAATTTAATGTTTTCTGTAAATGATGTATTTTATAAATTTATGTAATATAAATATTATTTTAAAAACCCCCACAAAATTACAGGTGAGTTTTGCTCCCAGAGGGATGCCAGCCTGAAACAGAAGTTAAATGCAGCTTTTCCTCAAGCTGAGTTAATTTTAAACATTTATAATTCATATTCTTATATATATTTTATATACTCTATATCTTTTATACATTACATAATACATATTTTAACCATTACAAATTTATATTATTGAAAATCCATAAAATAGTCTTAAAAATCCCCCCCCCAGATGTGTGATGCTAAAGCAGGGGAAATAATATAATTTTACTATTAAAAATATAAATATTTTCATAATATTTAAACACTATAATTACAAATATTTTCATAATATCCCATCAGAATAATAAGAATAATAATAGTGATTAAACACTCTGTAATTGTATTTACACAACCAGGAGCACTTAAATTTGGGGTGCAGACTCTCTGTACCTGCCCAGGGCCTTCAGCATCTTGAGATTTGCTTCTGCTTTGGCCACGGTGCCACTGAGCTTCCAAACTTCAGCTTCCTTCCAGTTCTGGAATACTGAGATCTGCAACCAAAGAGATCTGTGTCAAAAAAAAAAAAAACCAAACAAAAAAACCAAAACCCTAAAACCCACGAGGGGATTAAAACCCAGATTGCTTCAGCTCCACCCCTTAAATGTTCCATTTGCAATTTATCCCCCCAGAAACACACACATTTATATGCAAATAACGAGATATTTCGATGTAAAAGGCAGCTTTTTAAATACTGCAAGGTTGAAGATTAACGGGGGCCGACAGAGCTCCTCCTAAGAAGGCAGAATTGTTCCCAATGTTCTCAATATTCCAAGCATTTCCAGCGGGAAACATCTTAGTTTGGAAAAAATATTGAGGGGCGTGAGTTTTACCTGCATGAGGAAGTAGCTACACATTCACTAATAACTTAAAATAAGGAGTTTTATTGGATGTTTTTAGGGTTAATTCCAAATGAAATCTCTTCATAAACAGGGACGTGACTCAATTACCAGAGCTGAGTTTTTGTTTGGGGCAATAACTTACAGCCCAAAGTTTCTGCACTTTTAATACTAATTCAAAATAATAATAATAATAACTAATAATAATAATAATAATAATAATAATAATAATAATAATAATAATACACCTTGACCTGCAAAACTTCTGTGGGAAAACATCAGGAACATCACTTATCAATACTGGATTAACATCTTTGATATCACCTTCCCCACCTCCAATGAGCACAAAATGATCCAAGCTCGAGCAAAAAAAGAAAAGGTTTTTAAGGTTGGGGGTTTTTAAATTTTTTTTTTTGTTTGTACCTCTGCTTTAACAGCTCTTTTCACACACTCCTGGCAGTCATCTTGACTCTTTTTTATAAGCTCTTCCAATTTTACTTTCTCATTAGCAAATTTATTACTGCGAAATAAAAAGAAGTTAAATATTTGAGTAACATTTCCAGCAGAGCAGTATTTAAAATTTATGCCATTTTAGAGGTTTTGCTGCAGCTACTCCCTCTACTCAGTATCATGTAATCAAGGGCAATGTATGAGAGCATGATAAAAAGAGAGATTACATTATTCTAAATATTAATATTTACTCGGGATAAGTAAATTAAACAAACTCAGAGTAAGAGCTAATTAAGTGCTTATTTCTCCCTGAGCCTTTACACCCAGAGTGAAGCAGAAAACTCCAATACTGACAAATCAGCAGGAAAAAAAAAATGGAAATACTGCAGAAAGGTACAAGACTTTTATTACCTGGTGTCCAGAAATGTGTTTAAATACGTATTATATTGCTTTTCTTTGTCATTAATGGTCTTCAAATACCTGCAGGAATGAAACATTTATCAAACTCTGATAAATTCTTGCTGAGAAAGGTTTGTTGGCAAATGTGTAACAGGTTCCTCTGTGGCCACAGTGACAACCTGGGTGGTTTAGAGATTGCTGCACCTTAATATCTGTACATTTTAGATACTGTTTCATGCCATAAATATTATGGTATTCCTGTCCCTGGAAGTGTCCAAGGCCACGTTTGTTTGGATCTTGGAGCAAGCTGAGCTGGTGGAAGGTGTCCCTGCTCGTGGCAGGGGGTTGGGACTGGATGAGCTTTAAGGTCCCTCCCAACCCAAACCATTCCATGGTTCTATTCTGAGGGCATTTAAATCTATCCCTAATAAATCAATATAAAAACCAGGCTGGTGATTTTTCCAGAGAAATTCGGCCCAAAGAGTAAAAATCAAACACCAGCATCCAAGTACCAAACTCCTCAGGGCTCTGCCACATCCTGACTTACCCAGCCAAGGGTTAGGCTTAGCTATGTAATTAATTAAATATATCTACACAAATTAGAGATATCTGATGTCTTTAAAATGTCAGACTGCTGTCAAATCCGCATTTCAAACCAGCACCTCTCGTTGGTGTCTGTGTGTTTTTTAGCTGTGCTCCTCAGGGCCTTTAGGCTGTCTCGGTTCTCCTTCTTCTCCTGCTGCCACTTCTTGCCCTGTGCCTCCGAGTCCTGGTGGAACCAATCCAGTTCATTCTGGGACACCTGGAAGCACAAAAAATGAGGCTTCATTTCTGAAAATAATGTTTTATTCAAGTCGAGCAGAATGGGGACGTTCACGACCCATCACAGGCTGGGGTTAGAAGGGACCTTAAAGATCATCCCATTCCACCCCTACCACGGGTTGAGACTCTTCCCACTATCCCAGGTCGCTCCAGCGTGCCCTTGGGCACTTCCAGGGATGGGGATCCCACCCCCCTCGACCCATGGACAGAGGTTTTACCTCAGTCTCTTCCACACTTTTCCTCAGGAGCTCCTCCAAAGCCCTGACTTCCTCCGAACTTCGGCTTTGCAGCTGCTCAAATTTCTCCTCAGCCTCTTTCAGTTGTTCCTGCAGCACGTGGTGCTCCTTTTCCACACGCAGGATATCTCCCTGGAAAGAAGTTCAGGTAACAAAACCCAATCTTAGTGACACGTTTTCTCACTTTTATCTCCTGGTACGGACATAAACCTGCCACCAGCACCACTCTGAACTGCCTGCGTGCCCAAAGGGAGTGTTTTTATCAAGCCTCAGGATTTTTGGAAGGGGAATACAAACTGCCAAAAAAACACAGAACAAAGCTCAAAACCCTCCCTTGCTGTGGGGGCCACGTGAAGTTTCCAAGGAGAACATCACAGAGGCCAAACCACACAGCACCAAAACACCCAAAGGACACAAATACCTCTCAAAATGCATCATTTTCAGAGAACTTTTCACTGCTCAGTTTTTTTGGGCATTCCTTTAACCTTCTTCACGAGAAATGCAAGGATGGAACTTACTGGTTGGTTTTCAAACGGATGGAAAGGCAAGGTGTTGGTTTCCCTATCAGCTACTTCCTGGTTTACCTGAAATACAAGAAATTGTGAGTTAATTAAAAAGCTTTCCAGTTTAGAGATGCAACTACGAGGTCAGCTCTGGTTTGGAGCTCCTGTACCTCACCTACAGCTTTACAAATCCAGCTGATTTACTGAGCAGGTCTAAAACAAGGTAGAAAAATATTGTAAAAGTGTTTCTGGAAGGGACTTCTACCTGTGAAGAAAGCACTTGACTGTCTGATCTGTCCCTGATTTCATGGACCAGGAGAATTCATCCTGAGAGTCTTCAAACACAGCTGTGCTTTAAGTGTCTGAAAACTTAAGATGTGCAAGAAGTGTCTGAGAGCTCCCTGAGCAGCTGTTTTGTGACTCCTCAACTCAAGATCTACTACACAAGTGCCTCTGCTTAGAAGGGCTGTTAAAAAATCCTGGTCAGATAAGCTTAAAATCGTGGAACTGTTGAGGTTGGAAAAGACCTTTAAGGTCATCAAGTCCAACCAGCACTGCCAAGGCCACCAGTGACAGGGCTTTAAATCCCTCAGGGATGGGAATTCCATCTCCCTGGGCAGCCCCTTCCAATGCTGGACAAGCTTTTCTGTGGAGAAATTCCTGCAAATATCCAACCTGGGCCTCCCCTGGCACAGCTGGAGGCCGTTCCCTCTCCTCCTGTCCCTGTTCCCTGGGAGCAGAGCCCGACCCCCCCCGGCTCCCCCCTCCTGGCAGGGACTTGCAGAGCCAGAAGGTCCCCCCTGAGCCTCCTTTTCTCCAGGCTGAGCCCCCCCAGCTCCCTCAGCCCCTCCTGCTGCTCCAGCCCCTT